TTTTACGCGAACATAGGCCTAATATTATTTTGACGCGATTATATAATTTATTAGAAACAATTTAAAAAATGACTATACAATTAACTGCGATTTCATTAATATTTCATGAAAATCACTTTTTTTTCTTTTTATCAATATTTAATTGAAAAAATCATTGTTTCCTTTAATCATGTAATCTTTGCTAGCGCAAAAAATAACTTTTTATGGAAATGACATTATTATTCTTGAATAATACAGATCAACACTTTTACCGTCCGTTGTTTTCATATTTTTCAACGATTATAGTCAGCAAATAATGTTAAAACATAGCTGTATTAATAGCGAATAAAAATCAATTTATTAAAAATCAAAAATATCGTTTATCGTTTATCATATATCATATATCATATATCATAACTGCCTCTGCCTCTGAAATTTTATTATCTTAGAAAATCGAGGCTAACTTTTAACTTCAACGAGAAAAGTGTTGATCACTATTTAGTATAGCATTATGTATTCTAGAAACTAAAATATTTTATATTCGATGTCAGCATTTTTGTAATACATAAACGTTAGCGTATAAATCATGGAAGTGGACGTACGTTAAAAACGGAAAATGTGTCGAATCTCGTCTCATACACCTCGTATATTTACCCAGCTTTGCGTGGTAATGAACCATTCCAAATTTCACTCTCTCAGTGTAATAATCATCAAAGACATTTAAATATTTTTAACTTATCATAAAGATGATTAATGGCTTTGTATATTGTTGTATTTGTTATATTTAGATTTATTGTTATATAATATGTTATTGGTTTCTTAATGTGTACATATTTATTTTAATGTTTTTGCAAGAAACAAGACAATTTGGTAACTGTGAATGCCAAATGTAATAATTTCGTCTTAAAAAAATGTAACTTTTTAGCACTTTGTTTTGTATATTATGTTGATAATTAATAATATAATAATTCTTACAAACCGAAAATATTCTATTAGCATTGTTAAAAAGAAACTGATTAAAATACACATAAAAATTTTATTTTCAGGAATTATCGCATCAACAAGATCGAATATATATAAGAAAATCTCTAAAAAAAAACATTAATCGTCCTAAAGAATTGACTAAAAATTTTAAAAAACTTTTATTCCTGCACTAATTCTCATAAAAATATATACCGTCTCTATACACACAATAGGAACACTCGCTAAATATACGCATATGTATAACATTAAATATAGTTTTTAAAAGATAACAATATCATCATAAATCAATGAAATATTACGTGCGAGTATGATTCGTGGAAGACTTGTTCGTAACGATTTTGCATGTAAATATTATTGTATATAATGTTATATTATCATGATCATTTCTCGTATGGTGTGCAAGTAAGAGTATATGATATGTAACTATAAAAGTGAAAAGTATGACAAATGACTGATTTAATTCATTCTCTTCATGGAATATCATATTAAAAAAATTTGGCACTATTATCACGAAGTCTCCACGTTTTCATTCAATATATATAATTATTTCTCACTAGTTTTTTTGATATTTTTGAGCATTTATCTGCCACTTGTTTGGCGCAATTCTTCTAACTAAAATAAAAAATAATAATTTTAAGTTTCGAAATTTAATTGAAATTTTTAAATTAGAATTCAAAAAAATAAGAAAAAATTAGAAACCTCTTTTTCATCATCTACTTCATCTTCTTCGTCAGATCCGTGAACTGAAGCAGCCGGAGTAGTATGTCTAGAAGAAGAAGGTGACGGTGGTTCACTAATTGGTCTAGGATAACTAAAACGTCCTACTCCACCTTCGGCAAATTCAGAAGCTAATTCTGGATAAACAGTCGTCAAAGCTTTGATTCTGGCTTGGCGATAATACTGTGAAAACAATTGCATTTAAAAATGTATGTGTGTGTGTGTGTGTGTGTGAATGAATTAGAATTTATATTAAAATAGTACTTACAATACCAAGATTTCTCCAATCAAGAAGATCACTAAGACGTTCTGTACGATTTCTCTGAATAATACGTTGTCGGCGGCTTAATCGTGCAAAATCAAACATATATTGGGCAAGTTGTTGAACACTACTTTCCAGGCTAATAAATCGCCTATCCACAATATAAATACCATAACTCATTGGATCAGCTATATGCTCTTGCATAAAACATCCGAATCCAGATAGATTCGTAGTTATACTAGGAATACCCATAACAGTACATTCCGCAGGTGTATACCCCCAAGGTTCATAATATGATGGAAAGACACCCAAGTGACATCCTCTGACGAATTCTTCATAATCGAGACCAAATAATGGATTTGTCGATGATAGGAACTCTGGATGAAATACTATCTACGATATGAAATTGATATCAATTATACATGATTGAATAATAATAAATATATATTTAGATATAATATATATATTATTAGATTACTTTTACTCGATCGTGAACCGTATTAAAAAGATTGCATCTTCTAATAGCATTCAATACCGGATCATTCCAATCATCTATAACATTATGCGTGGTAACTGGAGGCAAACCATTCCTTTGTAACGCATATAAACACCTATAATAATGCAAAAAATTATAATATTTTAAACTTTAATCTGTATCATTACTAATTTTAATATTTACCGTTTGATTTTTATAGTATCTTCTTTTTGCAAAAGGTCTTGCACGTCAGGCATACGACCAGAAAGGCACATTTCATACATACGCTTTCCTATTTTTTGTTGTATATCATTAATTGTATCTCTCAAAGACTTTGTGACCTTTAATGAGGAAATAATCTCAAATCTTTTTTATTATTGCAGTCCTTTTTCAATTTAAAAAATAAATTATTTAACTTACAGCATGACCACGCAATGATTCTACATTAAAATTATTAGTCCGTGCTGGAAAAATTAAGAAAGCCACAATAGTTACATCAGGTCTAGATGTTTTTAAATAATGATTCAATCTAGCCAAAGCTTCGATAAATATATCGGCACCCTTGTTTCCAAACTCATAACGTCCAGCAATGAAAAAATATAAAGTTTTGTCCAAATCAAAATCATAATGTCTAAAATGATTTTTAAAACAATGATTTAATATAGATAATTTATATAATAAAAAAAGTTAATATTACACGACAATGTGTACAATATTATACATTTTTTTTTCCTACATACCCATAAAAATGTCCTCTGACGAATTCATGTATTTTTTCTTTACTAACAGCATGCAAATTTTGAAATTCATGAAGTGCTGCAAATTTTTTTACATTGAGTCCATTCGGCGTGATTATATCGGGTTTTCTTTTCAATAAATGCTCTGCTTCGAAACCTGTTATGTCCGAAACGGTTGTAAATATATGTGCCAAATGTGTAGCTGCACGTTCCATACAATATCTATGATAAATTTGGCGTTTTCCCGCTTCTTCATCTACATTAAACTATGAACAAATAAAAAATTAAAATATATTTAAATATTGAAAAAAACATTAATTTTAATAGCTTTATAAAAGAGAAAGAGATACCAAATCTAAATTGTTATAAAAATCAGTCTTCCCTGCACATAGGTATCTTCCAAGCAAAGTAGCGTGTGTAGTAAAAACCGTAGCAACATCTACATGTCTAGTTCTTAAAGCAATTAAACCAACACCAGCTTGCCATTCATGACAATGAACCACTATACGAGGAGGAACATCAATATATCCTTCAGCAGCTAATCTAAAATTAAAAAATTTATATTTAATGTTTTTCAAGAAATAATAAAGAAAATAGAATTGATTTTTATTTAATAAAAATTCACCTGAATTCAGAAATAAATTGACAAACGAGATAACCGAGAATAACTGCATCATTAGATTCTATATCTAAATGAGGAATACCAAGATTACAAGTATTCCATAATTCTTGCTTATACTCGTCCAACTTCCATGCTGCACTTCCAATATCAAACAGAATGATTTGTGGATTTCCATCCACTAGCCAGGTTCCTGTTACCACCTCAATAACATCTTTTACTTTATAGCAAAATAAATTTTATTTGATTTTCATTTTTAAAAAATAGCAAATAAAAAAAGAACAAAGAAAGACAAAGAGAATAATTATATTTCATCTACAGAGGCAATTGACCTTGTAGTAATTTTAATCTTGTATTTGGACTTTAGCCAAATTATTATTTTTGGTTCATTATAAAATGTTAGTAACTGCAAATATGTATCTCTGTTAAAACATTCTGTCTAAATAACAATGTATGTTTCATTCATACTTTTTTCTATTAGTTATCTTTAGAATTAAAATATTAATATTTTTTAAAATATCTTATATATTATTGTATATTATTTCTATATTATTTATATATTATTTAAACTTACTTTAAATCCTTGATCACGTAAAACTTGTACAGCTATATGCAATGGATTATTATGTGGAAAATCTGCTTCTTCAACTTCAGTACGTGCTGAAGTTTCCTTATATGGACCAATAAGACAATATTGATCACCCATTTCTTCTGTAGATACGTAAGCTTTAGAACGTATTACAGTATATATACCACCAACTAAAAATACAATAGTTAATAAAATTATAATTGTATAAACAAACAAATTAATGTTTTATTATGTTATATTATTTATACCTTTATTAGCAGCTTCCCATGCAACTTCAAAATACCATCGATTTTCATGCTGTGCTGAATATCCACGATCCATAAATTCAAGTAAATCATTACTACTGTCCATACGATAAAATCTTCTAGATACCCGTTCTCTTGACATTTTGTTCTCTTTTTGCAACCTTAAATATTGGGCAATAAATTTAATTTTATAAATACTTAAAATCATGTAATATTATTTTTAGGAAAATTTGGGTATATAAAAGAATTGACCATTTTAATAGCAATGTTATTAACAATATATTTAGGGTTTAATGATAAAAAATCATTATGTTTTACAATAATAATAAATTATTATCAAGACAATTTTATATTAATTTTATATATTAATTTTTCTAAAATAATTTTTCATTCAATAACAAAAATTATAAAATTATAAACAATAATTTTTTTTTCTTTGAATAAATAATATTAATTTTAATTCGGTACTACAATTCAAAAATAAATATTTTAAACCATTAAACAAATATTAAAACAATTATTGAAACGATTATTGAAACAGTTACAGAATATTCTATTTTAAGATGAAGATTAAAATCAGTATGAACGGGAATAACTTTATAAGCATTAAACATTTTAGTATAAGTTTATTTTGAACAGAAATATTGTAGCCAAAAGAAGCACGTTGTGTCTTGAAAGAATTTATTAAAGGTCAATGACAGTATGAAGTAATGCCATTTCTCTAAGGGTTTGCCGGTTCAATGGAACCATGCGACGAAAGAAATTTCCTTTGAAACATTAAGAGAAAACACGAGTCAAAAAACAATTTTTAAATATGAATATGAACACTTATTACCACTCAAAATAATATATCGCAATAGAAAAAGGAAAAAAATGAAAAACAAGTGGTGGACGGATGAACAATTCTACGGTCAACCTCGTGTGAAGGTCACCACAAACTACGAAAGGTCACAAGGGCTCAACGGGGCTCGGTTTCTCGGTCTACATTAAACACGATGAAACTTTGTCGATTCACTGATAAACACATTGCTTTATGTTTCTTTTGTAACTACAGATGGCACAAGATATCTCAAAGAAACCGTCGTTGGCTTAAGATCAATTTCTTCAATTTCTTCAGATAATATATGTCATATGTCTGAGAAATATGTGTTATTCAATTGCGTACTTGTAAAGTATTTTGACGCAATTGCAAATGTCATTTTATTTTTAAATAAGAACTATATACATAAAAATATCATTACGTTGTTAAATTTATATTGTTAATGAAACTTTATTTTAATCGAAATCACGAAGAAAATTTGGAATATTCAAATTATCGAATATGAATGCTCATATTCTTAATTTATATTTCTTTAATACTATTTATATAAACACAAATTTTAAATATAATAAAACAATTAATAATTTTGTGAAAAATAATATAATATAATTATTGTAATAAAATTATAACATAATTGATTATATAAATTCTATAAGAGTTTTGATTTATATAATCACATTTATGATATTAATTAAAGCATAATTAAAATTTCTTATAATATCAAAATTATATTAAAAATATAAGTGTAATTAAACATTTTAAGAATTAATTTTAAAGTTATAAATAAAAAAAGTCTTATTTCTTTGCTATTTCTATTTGAATTTTTACCGCTTATTTTTCATACAATCGACAATTTCATATTTATTTTATTAGTTCATAACTTATTCTCTAGATGTCTCTATATTCTATGCAGTTATAAGTTTCCTTTCTAGTACATATTCATGAAGTTGTGAATTTTTAAAGTAGTTTAAAATATTTCAATTTGTTGATAGTGTAACACGTGGAAAACCAGTGAACATGGCGGTAAATATTTATTATAAATTAATATTGTATTTATTATTTAATTTCATTTTAATATACTATATTTGATAAATAAATTCATATTAATATGCTTTATCTTATTTTTGTCGCATAACCTTTCTAGAATAAATTCATTTTTTATTTAAAAATCTTCCAATTAAAATTGTAAAGAACATTTTTATTTATCTTATTATTTATTAATATATTGTATTATATTTTAATATAAAATAATATTTAATATTCTTATATTTCATCTTAAATGAAATTTAAGATAAATAGGTTGGCATAGCAACTGTTGTTTGATCAGTATTTGCTTTTGTAATATTATTTATATTGTATATTATAAAATATTACTATAATGTATTAACATAATTATTTTTTTATTTTAGGCTGTTGGAGCTGCAAAAGTTCAAGAAGTTCGTGAAATCACAAGGATAGAAAGAATTGGAGCTCATTCTCATATTAGAGGTTTAGGCTTAGATGATAGCTTGGAGCCTCGTCATGTAATATATTATATTTTTAAGTATTATTATTTTAATATTTATTTTTATTAAATTATATATAATTGCTTAGGTATCTCAAGGAATGGTTGGTCAACTTATGGCTCGCAGAGCAGCAGGAGTTGTTCTTGAAATGATTAAAGATGGTAAAATAGCAGGTAGAGCTATATTATTGGCAGGTCAACCTGGTACTGGAAAAACTGCAATTGCTATGGGAATGGCACAAGCTTTAGGAATGGATACTCCATTTACTTCAATGGCAGGTTCTGAAATATATTCTTTAGAAATGAGTAAAACTGAAGCTCTGACTCAAGCTATTAGAAAATCTATTGGTGTTAGAATTAAAGAAGAAACAGAAATTATTGAAGGTGAAGTTGTTGAAATTCAAGTGGATAGACCTGCTACAGGTGTAGGTGCTAAAGTTGGTAAACTGACATTAAAAACAACAGAGATGGAAACAATTTACGATTTAGGAAATAAAATGATTGACAGTTTAATGAAAGAAAAAGTTAGTAAGAATAAAAGATTAATGTTAATGCTTTGTTATTTTTAATATTTTAATATTTTTTGGAATTTTTAAAATGATTTCTTATTTAAGGTACAAGCTGGAGATGTGATTACAATTGATAAAGCTACAGGAAAAATAAACAGATTGGGAAGATCATTTACTAGAGCTCGTGATTATGATGCAACTGGTTCTCAAACTCGTTTTGTACAATGTCCTGAGGGTGAATTACAAAAACGCAAGGAAGTTGTACATACAGTAACTTTACATGAAGTTGATGTTATAAACAGTAGAACCCATGGATTTTTGGCATTATTTTCTGGCGATACAGGAGAAATTAAATCAGAAGTACGAGAGCAAATAAATGCTAAAGTTGCCGAATGGCGTGAGGAAGGAAAAGCTGAAATCGTTCCAGGTGTTTTATTCATCGACGAAGTTCATATGCTTGATATTGAATGCTTTTCATTTCTCAATCGAGCACTCGAAAATGAAATGGCACCAGTCGTTATTATGGCAACAAATAGAGGTTCTTACATACAGTTTTATATACATATTACTTTTAAATAATATAAAATTAATTGGCAAACTCTTCTCATATAGGTATTACTAGAATCAGAGGAACAAATTACAAAAGTCCACATGGTATTCCAATAGATTTGTTGGATCGTATGATTATTGTTCCAACAAGTCCTTATCAAGAAAAAGAATTGAAAGAAATTTTAAAAATAAGATGTGAAGAAGAAGATTGTGAAATGGCGGATGATGCTTTAACAGTTCTTACTAGAATCGCTCTGGAAACATCATTAAGATATGCGATTCAATTGATTACGACTGCTTCTCTCGTTAGTCGACGAAGAAAAAGTACAGAAGTGAGTATATTTATTTCTATGTGTATTTTTGTATTATTGTTAATAAAAATATTGTTAAATAATATATAATTTCAGGTCAATATTGATGATGTGAAGCGTGTTTATTCACTGTTTCTCGATGAAAATAGATCCACTCAGTTCTTAAAAGAATATCAAGATGATTTTATGTTTAATGAAATACGTAAGTAAAAAAAAATGGTAACATTGTGCTCGATTATAACGTTTTATATATATTTATTTTTATTTCAGCGGAAGAACCAATGGAAATATCGTAACGATAAGTAAATAAATAGAAATTTTGGATGTTCAATAAAAGTTTATAATTTTTTACTTATTATTTTCATAATATTCCTTGAAATATTAAATAGATATAGATAAATATAATATACGTAAGCATATAATATTAAAAACGATGCATTATATTTTTATTAAATACAAAAACTTAACAAATTCTGTTTTTAGTTTAATACAATTTGGTTTTTTAATATTTGATTTTTGTTTCACTTATTAAAATTAATATAAATTCATACTGAACAAAAATTATTAATATTAGTTATCGAGGTAAATTAATTTTTGGTCTGAAAACTTATTACTGCATAATGCAATTTTTAAAATCTGTTGTACACACACTCGTACGCGCACATATATAAAATAAATCCGAGATTTATTTGAAATTTTTGCACAATTGATTGATTCTCTGAATTGATTGATTCTCATGTAACAATAATGAATTTATATTGCTTCATTATTGACAAATTTTACGATTTATCATCGTAAAATCACATAATAATTTTCATGGATTTATGTTTTTTTATCTTGACTCTTCTTGACTGTAACAAATAATATTTATTGTTTTCTTTATTGGCTATATAATTTTTTTTATATTTAACTTACTTGTTATTAGTTTAACTCCATCTTCAGGTTTAGAGGATGATTGTGCTTTTTTATTTTTTGATACAAATCCAAAATTATATTCCATTTTATAGACGGGAAGAGGAATCACTGTAGATGAAACTGGTATCATCACTGAAATAACATTAATAAAATATCACAATTTTTTTCGTTATTTCAAATTTTAGATGATTCATAATATAATTAAATATTCTTGGAATATATATTCAAAAGAATTGAAATATCACATCACGAAAAAACATCGTGATGTGAAATCTCATATATATTAAGTATAATAATATTGTTCAATCATTTTAATATAAGGAAAATATCTCTTATAATATAAAATATAAAAGTGATAATATAAAAGTACAAAAATAGAAAAAAATTATAAAATATATTATCCGCAATATATCATTAATAAAAATATTCTCTTATGAATTTAATTTTATAATAATTTATAATTAATTATTAATTTATTGAATATCTATTAAAATATATAGAATGATATTTTAATTATTCGTTTGAAAAATTAATATTAATCAAATGAAAATCAAATCGTCAAGATAATAATCTAATATCAAATGAATTATTTATTGTTTCACTTATTAAGATCTTTATATTGTGTCTACTTTAGTCTCGTTATTATAAAATCATAATTAAATTTTTATTATTATAGTTCAATATAATAGCTTAGGAAATACGCTACTACGAAATTTTTTTTTACCAATTAAAGCTAACGAAAAATAGAAAAAAGGAATTATTTTCTTAATTTGTATAATATGCTCAATTATCTCAATTTAATATTTATGCAATTAATATTATAAACTTTTAAATTTTCCATGCGAACATAATCTGCATTATATTTTTGCATAAAATCATTATTAATTTCTTTGAATAAATCAATTTTGTTTAGTTTCATTATTTAAAAATTAACTATTCGTTCATTATATTAATCAATTTGCTTCAAATTCAAAAACAATTATAACAGTGTATTATAGAATGTAAATGAATACTTTCGAATCGCTGATTCGTATGACTAATTGTATTTTGTGTATTATTATACTTTTTTAATTCTTGTTTGTATTTTAATTTCCAACAACAATCAATAATAGTTTGAAAAGTTTTTCGCTATCGCTTTTCATAACATGAATATTTATTAGATGACAAATATTATGAGAGGATACATTGGTGCTTAATATCGTCTACGTAATAATTATTCAAAGAAAGAATCTATCAATTTTCATTATAAAATGAAAAATTGTAAGTTGCGTACGAAAAAACATCGTGATGTGAAATCTCATATATATTAAGTTAGGTTATATATATAAAGGTTATCAATTATATTTTTATAAACATCTAATTTCATTTACAAAAAAGATAATAATTATGTTTATTATTTAATTTATAATTTATTAATTATTTTTTGTGAGATTTTTAAAAAAATATTTGTCTTTTCATTAAAATATTAATATATTAAAATATATTAAAATAACATAATCTGCATTTTCAAAGTTAATTCAATTCTATCTAGCATTTTAAAATATTTGAAAATTTTAAAGTTCTATTATTTTTCTT